CGTGTATCTCTCCGAGAGCTCCTCCTTCTGAGTTAGCATTTGGTTCATATGGAGACCACTGTTGTTCCCAGTCGAACGGTGAACTGATATTACTGATATCTGTACGAATGAGTGGAGAATAATCATTGTTTGATGAGATCAGACCACTATGCTCCTCTGGATCTGTGAGAAGTTCGTTGCTGATACGCCTGAAATTTTCTCGATGTCCGAAATATAATGTCATAATTACAGCAATTTGTCATCAATACAATTACCTTTTCATCTGACAATGACTTACATACGGCTTAACAGTTAAGTAGTGAAATGAAATGTTATTTATAATGACAAATGGTTGAAAAATTTGGAGGTGATAAAAATGAATTAGGTAATTTTCAAATTCCTGATACACGTCACATTAACTGTGTATTTTTTACAGGGTTTGTGATTGTGATTATTATCGTAATCACTAGCACTATTATTTTCGTTATTTATTTATTATGAATATTATTGACAATACTCATCACATTCGAATATTCATAAATGTGTTGTTCCTCATCATTTTCTTCCTTCTGTCTATCACAGTTATTTGCTTCATTAGGACATTATCAATATTTATCTTCTGATCAGTCTGTCGTCTAGATATGACAATAAATTTGATAGATTTTGAATGGATTCAATATTTTGCAGAATACCTTTTGAAGAGGGGCGATGCCGTTTGGGCATCGATTCCGAAGAAGCAATCGTTTATCATTTTCGTGTCTTGCAGGATTTGGGACGGTGATTCTATTAACGGTACAACGCCAAAGTCTTCGTGTTGTTCGCGATTCGACCGCATTCTCATCTGTATCAAAACGATTTCACATATCAGTATTGGATTTTCGAATGCATTATTGTGGTTTCAAGAACTGTCATCAGCAGAGTGCGTATGAAATCTTCGAAGTTTGGAGATGAATCGAACGAACAATATTCGCTTACAAGTAAAAAAACTGCTATTTTAATTGCTCGGGATTACAATGTTCCAAAATTTTCGGATACTTCAAGCAATTAGATGAATCTCCGCGTTCAATCAGTTTTCAATACAGTATTCGCTTTAAATTTTTTTCGGGAAGAATGTTACTTGATCACGAAAGAGAAGAGTTACTTTGTTCTGTATTTGGTCAATTCACTTTGATGCAACTGCGTTAAGGAGAGCAATGCACGGATTAAAGTAACTGTTGAGATGAAATAAAGAAAGCAGCTAACCTTTGGGATTGCGATTGGGATTGCTACGGTTACAGGAGCCATTTCGTATCGATGAAACTGGCGAATTTAGTTGTTGGGGCAAAGCCGAAGAAAAACTTCGTTGATAACACATTCTGTTCTGAAATTCAAGAGAGGATTATATTCAGCGCAAAGCATTCATCATGCTCACTGATTCTGACCCCTCAACTTCAACAATTCATTTCAAGAGATCATTCCCGTAGATCATTTCGATACTGTGCGATTCATGCTCTTCAATAGGCGTTCCTCACAAGTAGTTTTTGCTGCTTATATCAATCATTTCGTTGTAATAAATGAATGAACAATTTCAGGTATTATTTAATCACGTGAGTGATTCGAATTGATTTAGTGCTGAATGAAGTGGAAGAAAGAAAATTTCTAACGACAGGCGTAAAATCTGCAGTCAAATTTTCCTGTTTGTATGCGTGCAATTGGCGAATTTTCGCTCATTTTGGAAAATTATTTCGATTTCCTCATTCACCAAACTAAATTTGAACGAATCACCTTAACAACTTTTTTAGATACGCAGAGACATTCTCACTTTTCAATAAACATCTTTTTAGTGGCGATGCTGGGTAAAAAGTTGGTGTTTTAGGTGTCATGTTAATGACTAAACGCATGATTGAGTGAGTGAATTACGAGTGAACATAAATCAAGTGACTGAAAAATATCATCACGATCGTGAGGTGAATGTGGATGACAGAGATGTTTGTGGTGATACTCGATGATCGATTATGAATGCATTCCATCTGCTTTTAGCGGGGTGAATAAAATGGTTTATTGCTGTAGTTTATTACGTGCGATCAAGAAATTGTGACGATGGTGTTGTCAGGGTTGTTGGATTGCATTAAGGATTATTTGCATTCCGGTTGAGTGATCGAATGAATCGAAAAGAATCAGAAAACTGGATTTTTCAAAGAATCAAAATCGACGAATCTACGGGTGAAATAGCGAATTTCGTGCAATTTTCAAAAATTTTCAACACTTTTTTGGTGCACACAGAAAATATTGTTCATTTCTAGACGATAATTTAGAATCAGAAAGGAATTCAGATTGAGAAGACTTATTGAAGGGTTTTCGAA